TAGCAGTTTGGCGACTGATACTTGCTTATATTCAAAAATATCAACAATCTACAAAATAAACAAATATTTTATAGAAAGATTATCAATATTATTTTGTATAAAAATAGGTAATTACAATCCTACATTAATAGTTATCTCTAACATCAGTAATTTCGACTAGGATGTCTTGAATTTCTTGGAATTGATTTAGTTAATTAAGGTTCAAGGCCCCAGATTGTTTAGAAATTACTGACGATATATTATCTTTCTTTACATATACACGTTTAGTATGTGATCGAAATGTTTGTTGAATTGATTAACTAACGTAGTTGGTCAATATGCGCCGAAAAGGTTGTAGTTGTTCCAAACAATCGAAAATATCAGACGAAGTTGTGAGAAGATCCAGCAGAAAATATAGTATGTCTTCGATATTTTGCTTGTAGAACTCTGGACCGGATTGAAGAATGTAGTAATTTAGGAATATCTAGAGATAATATTGATTCCTCGAATAGAGAATTAGTCGAAATCATTGTTCCCGATAGTCATAATGAGTCCTGTTATCATCAATACATACGGTATAGAGTATAGTAACTGCAATTGTGAAATCGTTTTCTGCAACATTGGAAATTTGACTCAAATCTCAACTAGTGCATCCGCGTTAGGAATCAAAAAAATGACCGTTGATATTTTCCGATTCCGGAGAGGGAGCCTGAAAATCAGCTACGAAGCCCAAGGAAGGCAGCAGGCGCGCGTGTTAATGAAAAAAATTCTTTTTTCAAGTGAAGGAATACATGTAAAGTGAGTTCAAATCATATCAGAGAGGTTACGTACAGTGCCATCTGCCCGCGAACAGATCAAGCACTAAAGTCGATATATCAAGAAGATAACGTACAGCGCCATCTGCCCGCGAATAGATCAATCAATAATATCGATATATCAAGAATGTTACGTACAGTGCCATCTGCCCACGAATAGATCAAGCAATAATGTCGATAATTATGTCAAATACAGATCCCGTGCTTGAAAGTTACAAACAAACATACATCATACAGGTGAAGCTAATGAAAGCGTGTTAATTGAAAAGAGACAGTGAACAAATTACGTGAGATAGATAATTCAGAAGTTCAATTGATATATTGGGTTCAGTTGTCATTCAGAATTATTAGGTAAACTAAGTTCACATGAGTGTACTACTACCCAGCGATAGTTTATAACATTCGTACAATAGACACCTTGGAATATGAAATAATACTGTAAGAAAAACAAGGGGGCAGATCTAGGTGTATGGTGAATACAAAAACAAATAATGACAATGACATGGCATGAATGGCACATATTTCTGGTTTCTTGTGAGAACAAGAAATTCAAAAGAGCAGAAAGGCAAAGCAAGAATGGAAAAGGAAATGAAACCACAAAGTATTGCTATCCATAATAATTGCCCTAGGTATCTTAGTATTGCTTAGATACCTAGAGCAATAATAACTCAACTCAAAAAAAGGAAAAATGAAAGACGGTTATTCCGACTACTAAACTCAAATCAGTCTAGACAAATAGAAGACGAAAGGTTGAATATCGACATTCAGTGGTCGCGTAATAAAAACCAAAAATGAATTGACTAAGCTGTGCGAACGAGTCATGGTAAACATGAAAACTTGAACTTGAACAAAATGGTAAAAAAAATAAAAAGGTTACGGAAGAGATGAACAGGAACTTGGACGAAGTTTTCAGTCACTGTTGAAGTTTTACTGGGGTTGTTCGACCATAAACTCTCAATTTCAAGTCAATTTCTAATAATGATGAAGATTAACACGAACCTCATTGTGTGGCACTACATATCTGCCAAATAGAAAAATCTTTGAAGGTTGAAGGTTAGAATGCATTGCACAACCAGCTAATGGGGAATGCACTGCTGTTATATATCTCTCTTATCAGTGGAAAAAACACATACTCAAAATTTTATAATTCCACTACCATTACGAACATACATGGTTCATTAGCAAAAGCGATAAAAAATAAGCATTCATTTGAATTTTCATTCAACTTTCCCAAATGAAAAACGATCCACTATGTGTACTGTACGATCCGACACAATTCAAATATATCGAAGACTAGCATCCCGACCTGGCTTCGCACGTGTAGAAGAACATATAAGCCTACTCTTTTTTTTGGTCAGTGTCACATCAGCTTGTTCATGAAAAAAGTTTCGGTTTTTACTCTAATCGTATACCTTTGGATATTTTAGGTCTGAAAGTTTCCCCCTTTATAAAGTTATAGAAAAGTCCAAAATATTTAAGAGTATTCGAAAGCATTCCATAATATTCCAAAGTATCACGGAATATTCTGGAATATAAAATTGAATAATATAATGTGAAAACCAATTATTACACAAGAAATACCTGAGATAATTGACGAATTCATTGGAAGATGATGAATATCGTATCTGCCTAAATAATTTTTCAATTACCATTGCCAATGTCTCGCGGACTTTTTTGTAGACCTATAAAAGAAGAACTATGTTGTGAACGATAATTTGTGAACTCAAAGTGGTTAGGCAGCGTCTCAGATGAAAGCTCGCAGAGTAGCGTAATCGTCCCAACTTTTCATGGATAACATCGTCATATTTTGATCAATTCAGAAAAAACAATAATGATATTTACACATGTACATTTCTCATGAATTACTGCGTCCGTTGGTGGAAACCATATAATTTTTCAATAATAAAATATGTTTTGGAAAAAGAGGCTCCCCAAGGTGGTNGAAAGCTCGCAGAGTAGCGTAATCGTCCCAACTTTTCATGGATAACATCGTCATATTTTGATCAATTCAGAAAAAACAATAATGATATTTACACATGTACATTTCTCATGAATTACTGCGTCCGTTGGTGGAAACCATATAATTTTTCAATAATAAAATATGTTTTGGAAAAAGAGGCTCCCCAAGGTGGTCAGTTTTTTGGCTCTGGTTAAATACTATTGATAACAGACTTGGCTGGATGTCATATTGAACAACTTAGACATAGAGATATGTTAATCATGATACACTGAAAAGTACCTAATTTGCACTTTTTCATGGGTCTGGTCTGGTCTGGTCTGGTCTGGTCTGGTCTGGTCTGGTCTGGTCTGGTCTGGTCTGGTCTGGTCTGGTCTGGCCTGGCCTGGCCTGGCCTGGCCTGGCCTGGCCTGGCCTGGAAAATTGTTATTTACAGCAGGACTGATTTCATCGGCATCTAGGGCATTGAATACTTCTAAAACTTTTCTAACTATATTCTACCCACTTGTTGCATAATCTGCATATACAATATTTCCAACACATACACTGAATTCATAAGATCCACATCGGCTTAACGAGCTGACCAAAGGTACGGCCAGTTATTGGCAATCCACCTATCATAAAATAATTTATCGAGTGATACGCCTATGGTCCGTAATCATGACGCGGTGCTCCATCCTGTTGGTACCTACCAAATATTTTCAGAATCTTCAATTGATTTATTCACTGCAATTCTCACATTTTGTAGTATGTTACAGTATCCTTCACCATTCAAATTTACATCATGGATGTACAAACACATAATTCTATTGTGCTTTATAACACAATAAACTTCAATACTCCTACTCTCTTGGAAATGTCGGTCATGGGTGAGGTGTAGATTTTCATCAGCCCAAAAATAAATATTATTACGACTGAATGATTCACTTTTCGTAAACTCAGCATCATCACTTTATATAGTTTCTTAAAGAGGATGTTGATCTTTCTGACTTTTTATCAGCAACCATTCACAAAACTAAGTTCGACGAGGCAACTTCGTGTCTTTCAGATGATATTTGACCGGTTTCCATTTATGCTTTTTCAAAATGCGTTGAGCGGTTCTGGTTCAACTGATAGGTTTTTGTCATGATCTTTCAAATACGCATCCGGATGAGCAGCAAAATATCCAAGAACATCTATTTCTAGATCATTGTCTATCTGAGGCTTTCGTTTGGTTATTTTTTTGGTTATTTTCGCAAGAAATGATCAATGATTTGGTTTGAGTTTTTCCGTATACTTTTTGGCAAATAACCTGCATGTCCGGTCGATAATTCGAGTACATTCACCATATTTAGATAGATTAGATAGATATATTTTTATTCAGGTTGATATCAGTATTACAAAGGGAATATAAATACATATCAAGTGAACGATGTAGATGTAGAATATTCTATTCCTAGCAGTTTGAAGTCATCTAAACTAAGCTTGTATTGCGTACCTCAGGCTGCTCAATTTTATCTGAACATAAATGATATAAGTACTGAGGCACTAATGCTATCTAACTAAAAACGTAACTTAGTTTTAGAAAACAGTTTGAGAAATATATGTAGGAATGGATATGAATATGTAGATATAAATATTGATGTTGAGGATCAAGGTAGAGTATACACTGATGGAGATTCCTGATTCAGTCGTTCTCAAAGATATTTTCCAGTTGATTATAATGGTTCTTAATAAACAGTTTCATTTCATTCCTAAGTGTTTTTCTGGCTATTGATATTTTTTATATGTGTAGATAGCTGATTGTATAGTTTAAAACTGAATTGAGTGACGAATTTTTGGTTGTGAGTCAATCTGCAAGTGATATATTTATAACTTGGTTTGACATCATTCGTTTATTCTGCGTGTAATAAATTATATTAATCGGTTCACTCATTGTTCATAGTAAGCATTCATAGGCGTATATTTTTCTTCTGTTTATTAGGCCAGTTTCTTCATATAAGGACTCAGTTGAATATCTTCGAGTTTTTCTGAACATCATTTCAATTGAAGTGTTTTGAATTATATCTAAATTATATCAAACAATGATACAATGGCGTACAATTAGCTCAACCAAGGCGTTATAAACCAGCAACATAACGTCCCTTCTAAGAATAATTTGGAGTAGATAAAGTTCATAAAGAAGCGTTCGAAGTCTTTTCAGTGCATATTTTACATGATCGTATCAGCGTAGTGATTGATTAATCATGGGTTAAGATGCCGTTTTAGCGATGGTCATTTATCTCGCCATTGTGCATGATCTAATCAAGAGAGATTTAACTTCAGCAAAAAATCCTGTGACTTCAGAACCCAAAGGTACACGTCAAGACGACGAAAAACGGCCGGTAGGTATGACAGTTATTCCATGGAAAAACGGTAAATCTGTTGTGATACATTAGCAACTTGCCATTTTCCTGCTACTTCTGCGGAAGCCGGTGCTGCTGCCTCTTTAGGAGAAAATTACAAAATACGGAAATATCTGAATTTGGGAAATGATTATATCTTTCGCCCAATTGCTGCTGAAACTTTTAGTGTTTTTGGCTCTGAAGCCTTATCTTTCATCAATGAAATTAGAAAAAAGGTAACCAATGAAACCCATGAATCAAAAAACACATCTCTTCTCATTGAAAAAATTAGTATAGCCATCTAAAGAGGAAATGCAGCTTCGTTTTTTGGTACTCTTTCTGATTATAAAAAAAATGATAAAATCTACATGTTTCATGAAATCCAACTTCATAAGGAAAAGAGAGGTAATAACAAAGCACTTTATGGAAATAAAACAAAAGCAAATGGAAAAAATACTTTTCTCGCAGCAAAATTTCAAAATGGTTTTCAAAGAATTGTCCAGTAATACATTCCTCAATCAAAACCCTTGGGCTAAATGGGTTGAAAAATATTGGTATATTGGTTATTGGAATATTTGAAATTGAATGAATTCATGAAAGATATCAATACTAGTATTTCTAGTATGGAGGGTGCTTTAATGAAAGCGTTTGCAGAAATTATCAAGGAGTTGTGGTCAGAAGATTCACTTGATAGAGGAGTAAATACAGTCTCCTTAAAAAATCAGATTCAAACTTATGCTGCGTGTTTCATGGGTACTGCCAATCAAGTCGCCCAGGAGTTCCTTTGTTATCTTTCAGAAGGTTCACATGAAAACGTTAATATAATCAATGAAAAACCTAAACCAATCTTAACGGAGATTGACGAAAAATTGAGCGACAGTGGAAATGTACAAGAGTCATGGCTCACATTTTTGAGGATGCATAACTCTAAGATTGTAGATAATTTCTTCGGTCAATTGACATCCATGATGAAATGCACACACTGTGGACACTCATCAGTAACCTTTGATCCTTTCTGGGATTTGTCTCTCTTCATACCACGAAGAACCGACCAATTGAGTTTCTGGCAATGCTTGGATGCATTCATAAAATAAGAAACTTTGGATGGAATTGAGAAACCGACGTGTTCGCAATGCAAGGAAAGGAGATAATGCACAAAGTCCATATCAATCCACAAGTTTTCCCATATTTTAGTAATTCATTTAGAAAAATTCTCTTCAACGGAAAGATTTAGAGACAAATTGAATGTCATCGAATTTCCTCTAGAAGGATTGGATATGGACAATTTTGCAGCAGAAAATGTGGCTTTTTGTTGTTATAATCTATATACACTTCAGGATCACAGTGTGACTACTTACAGAGGGCATTATACAGCATACTGTATAGACTCGTATACTCTGGCACGTGGTACAAATACAACGATTCACACGTGTCACCAATTTCACCAAAATCGCTTGTGAGTGCAGGAGCATACATCCTCTTTTATGAAAAGGATGGATCAAACTCGCACCTCTGAGATAACTGAGGAGAAGTTTCTTCATACTCCTGTACCAATATATTTGATATTTATAAAAAAAGTACTTAGTTAATTCTATTTTATTTATTTCAGGGCTAGAGTTATTAGAATTTTCTGAGCAAGTTGGTTTGTGAATATGAAGTATCGTTTGTTTTGGTTGAACATTTTTGTGGAGGAGAAAGTTATGAATTTTGTTTTGTCTAGATTGAGGCTCAGTAGGTTAGTACTTAGCCAAGAGTGAATTTGTTTCATGCCAATTCCTGCCATCTCAATTCCATGTTTTACCTACGAATGTAACAGCCGTATCATCAGCGTAAGACATTAAATTTCCTTCGAAATTTTTAATGTTGAAAATATTATTTTCATACAGTAAAAATAGTATAGGCTCCATGACAGTTCTCTGTGGTACACCTCTGGCAATAGGCAGTGGATGACTATAAGAATTATTTATTATTACTCTCTGTATTCTGTTTGATGATTATTATTTGAATAAATTTAATTCAACGCCTCATCTCTGAAAGAGTATGTTCGACAGTATCAATCGCCTTTTTCAGGTCTGAAACTACAGTTACACATTTTTTCTGACCCTGAAAGCAATTGGCTTCCTTATTTGTTAGTTCAAAAATAGTTTGTGTTGATAAGTTTTCCCTGAATCGATAATGGGAGTTGGATATAAGTTTATTGCCAAGAAAGTTTACTAATCTGTTCATGACGATTATGGGTCTATAGTTGTTTGTTTGTCTCCAGATTTATAAATTGGATTGTGATGGATGCTTTAAAGGTAGTCGGGATCTTTCCAGACAGAAAAATTGAGAATGAAGCATAATGGTTTTTTGAGATATATGTGATATTTCTTAATGAATGATATTGTAATTTTGTCAGGACCAAAAGAAGTCAATTCAGATATTATCTTTATGATTTCATTTTCTGTTACCGGGTGGAGGAATAGAGATGTTGGTTTATCTATTCTGTTCAACATGGTTTCACCTACATTTATAAAATAGTAATTGAACTCGTTCGCTACTTCTTCATCCGTTTGCTATCTGCCTTGTTAGTTCGGTCTGGTTTTTCAACATGGTACGTACTTTATTTGCGTGCTTTCCTCAATTCATAGAGGCATTTTATTGGTAAAGTTCGCGTAGAGTATTCTCGATCAAAATCAAATTCAAAAAATATTCATTCTTATAACCTAAATGGGACATTTTACTCATGAATTCATACAATACACTTATAGAAACAACACTATCAATAAATCAACATCAAATTTCATTTGTTTCCATAGAATTCCTATCATATCAAACGACTGAAGTACTCATAAACGAGCAATACGAAAATTCCATCCAATACCCTAGACGCCGTTGGAATTAGCCGAGCTGTAAATGACAATTTGATAGAGTCAACAAATAGATGAAATTAAATGGAAAAGTCTTTAAACAAATTTCCTAATAATTTTTATATTTTGTGTCTAAAGACAATATACTCTATTAATGCACAAGTTTCATTTTTTCAAGAAAAACTCAAATATCTGGTGAATAGTTGATTTTGGATATAGAATATGTTTCATTGAGATAATTTGAAATCATCTCCGAATTTCAAAACTGACCAGAAATACAGGGTGTTCCGTTTGAAAAAACTGAGTTTTCACTCATTTTTAAATCTTCACAATTAGTCATCAATTCCTTACACCTTGTATAACATTTTGGAAATGTTACTCCTACAATGAATGTAGTATTTTGGTGAATAGTATCTAATTTGCGTATTTTATGAATCATGTGGGTTTTATGAGGGAATAACTCGAGAGTCGAATACTTCGTTTTTTTTTTGAGTAAAAAACAATATGAGAACGGTTCATTTTTGGTGTATGATGTATTACATAAACTCACTTCAGAATTATACCAGGAATTTAAAAATATGAAAATATACAGAGTGTTACGCTTTAGTTGAGGAAGTTGGTACTAACTTTCGTTGTAACCAAAAGTGTTGAAGAAACTCCATTATTTTCATTCGATAAAGCATATTGAAAAAATCTATATTACCCCAAGACCGTGTAAAGACCGTTTGTTTTCTATTCTGATCACATTTTGAATGAATCTTTATAGGGATTCGTTCATGTCGACAATGGAGTCTTTCTGCAATAAAGTTTTCGAGATAGTTTCCCAAATGAATATAATCATATAATCAACATAAATTACCATTTCCACAGTCAATTGATTGTTCTATTTGTTAGTTGTTTTTCTGAAGAAATTGAGAAATATGAAATAAATTTGATTACAAAAAAATAATTTATCATTTATGCTCATTATATGGTAGAAATAGAATTTTCAACTGACCTTCCATTCAGACATGATTCATGAATACAAGCGGATTATTATACTATTATAACATACCGATGAAAAGATGAGTTACGAGAGGATAGAAGGGTTCAATTTTTGAAATTAAGTTCAAGGCTTTCCCTGAAATATTGGATGATTGTTAATAGATACAGAATTATTATCAGAATTCTTATGAATTTCATTTGACCAAGTGTATATGTGTATATTGAAACGGCAAGGATTATAAATCCATTGTACACTAGGATTTGGAAAATATTATTGAGAAAAAGAAAACACAAGGAATTGATGTTCAAATATTGGTTGAAGCAAATAACACTGTACTAATGATTCTTAATTTTTATTCAGGTTACAGTTGGTTCCTGTTTTATAATCTTCGGTTACGGTGTAGCTTTGGATGATCCAAAGAGTGCACGTATACTCAAATATGATTTCGACAACATAGGAGAAGGACCATATCACTTCAGGTAAATATATCTAAAATTGATCATTGAAGCTTGTCTGTTTTCTAGATATAGTATATCATGAATTGAAAACAAAAATAGCATAAGAATGTGAAACAGTGAAACTATAAATAACGAGATGTTCGGATGGCACATTTTTTTTAAGTTGCAGCAAAATCTTCTGGGAAAACCCACAGCAGCATTTTGACAAGGGAGTCATTACCGTCCGAATTATCATATATCTGACAGAAAACGGTATATGAATGCTTGGTCCAACAACTGCCATGCTAAAAAAATAAAATAAATCATTCACCTCAAAAAAGGTATAATCACTCCAAAGCATAATTATGACCGGAATCAGAACTTGTTTTCAAATGGCATACCATTGCAAATATGTTTGAATGAAGCAGTGATATTCTCTTCAATGACAGTATTCTCCGTAATTTTTTTTGGCAGAGAAAAATACAATCTTATTAGAAGAATTTCATGGAGTAGTAGAAAGCCAAAAACTTTCTTTCCCAAAAAGGAGTTGTACTATTGGAAAATATCGTCATCGATATTACATTTCCTCATTTTGTGATTTTATTAAGAGCCCCAACATGAACCAGTGAAAACCCATATCATGAGATTATAACGTTCTTCTCTTCGAATTATGTATCCTGAAAAGCCGTATGCAATTGTCAAATTATTATTTTTTCTGCTGTGGAATAAAGAAGAACATCGGTCCACCAAGGACTCCAACAATTCAAAAACCTATTCTGTGATCATTATTGGAGTTCTAAAGGGTTCGACAGAGTTCATCTCCTTCTATGCAATATTCAAGATCGAAAACTCCAAGGAATGAGCGTGATGGTATGAGGATATACCAGGAGATTCATTATTTCCTGGTATATCTTCAAAACCGTAGGAGTGCCAAACATAATTATGAAATATTCGTTAGGCCGCATAATGTGGGAATTCATTATGCGTCCTGACGAATATCATCAATAGTGTCATCTTTTGGAACAAATAACTAATGCCGTAATCCATTTTCGAGTTTGCTGAATACAGTTCAAAATCAAGTCATATTCTAAGCAGTCTATGAATTATACGCTTATAAAATTAATTATAATATTGTTCATTTATTTCAGTTTCGAAACCAGTGATGGAATTTCCAGACAAGAAGTTGGTGAAATAGCAAATGCTGAAACAGAACATGAATTTGTGAAAGTACTTGGTTCCTTCTCGTATCTAGGACCTGATGGGGTGAGATACGAAGTACGGTATACTGCAGACGACCAAGGGTTTCATCCAGAAGGAGACCACATAAAGGTACCGCCATTTGTTCCGTGGATTCATCATCATCATCATAATGTTAATGATAACAATGATGATCATCATGATCATAATGATCATCATGATCACCGCGACCGTTATAAGCATCCTCACCATGATGGTCCAAGGAAAATTATTGGGTCTTCAAAGAAGACAGTTGTGCCCAATTTGGACATTTCAGGAACTTCTCCAAAACCGGTAACTGAGTTTTCAAGATTGCCCACACCCATTGCACCACATCTACATTACGGAGAGGAAAGAACTCCTAAAACGTTGAACCGAGATAGTTTCTACAGGTTTATCCCAAATGCTGTAGGAGAATATTCGAGCTCTGATTCCCCGAAAGCTATGACTCCCCAAACAATTAATGAAGATTATGTGAGAAATGTTTTTCCAACCACTCCAAAGCCACCCCAACCAAATTTGATTTTCCATTCAACTCCAGGTACCATAGCGAAACGTCCGTTGTCCCCTGCTCCGATATCGCCTCGTACAATAGTTGATAATCAGGTAATTGATACTTTTCCTAGTACACCTGAACCATATCCCATTCTCCATTCAACTCCAATTGGTGTCAGCGAATATTATCCATCCAGTTCACCAAGCTCTGATCTTCAACAAAATGACGGAAGTACGCCAAAGCCTCCGAACCAAGAGTTTATTTCCAGTTCGACTCCAAAGGCTCATATTCCTGTGGGATACTTTTTACCAAGGCCGGTGAGTTCGCCTCTCCCTGAAACTGATGAAAGCAGAGCTTATATACCGCCAGTAACGTCTCCGAAACCATTTGTTTGATGAGAAGAATTTTGTGGTTAGAATGTGTGTAACTTTTTTGTAGAAAGGTACCTAATTCAAAATAGTATGTGCAGAAATAATAATATGTGCAGAAATGCTGTGATGAATGTATGTAAAGTGAGTCATTTGGTAAAAATACGATTCAAGTTATTGAAAGACATGGACTGACGTTCTCATTAATGTATCATGATTGTTTTCAATTACGCCTCAGAAGGAAGATGTTCAGTCGCTTTTTGAAATTGTACTTATTATACTTTGAATCATTCTTTTCGATTTTGTCAAGTATTCTTTTCGAATGTGGATTAACAGAAGAGAAGTAACAGTCAAAGCGATTTTGACTGTTACTTCTGAACATTTTTCATCGAAACTACTTGAAGTTCATTTTAAGTATCATTAACATAAAAAATCAATATGAATAGAAAATGGATACATGTTTTGTAAACTTTCATCTGGATTGTGTTACTACAAAAGCATATAACCATTCCAAAGAATAGGTTAAGAATAATTTTATCATGCACTCAATTGTAGAAATTATTACTATTTTGAGTTGAAGCCACAACTCAGGATGATATTGATTGGAAAAATATTCAATTTTGAACAGAATTTTGTTCTTTTTTCGGTATCACATATTTTCCAGTTTTTGGCCTGTATTTTCTATCATCAGATGGAGATTTGTTTTTGTGTTGAGAAATTTAAATCTCCACTGAATATTTTAGCAGAATATCTTTCTTAGTTTTTGTTCCCATCAGTTGATAATCACTTCACTTCTTTATTCGAATACTTTATTTTATTTTTGTTGAATGTTATTGTGAATATACAAATATATTATTTTTATATAAAATACATTTGTTTTTGTTCCCTCTCTCCGTTGCCTTTAAAAAATCTCATTTGCTACTTTTGATTGAAGTTTTCTCAATGATACATCACACACGTTAATTTATATACATCATCTGCAGAAAAATTAGACGTATACACCTACTTATGCTCTAATATTCAACAAGAGGAGAATAACATTCAGATGAGAATCTGCTACACGTATACTTCCAGAAATATTCGATCTTGAGACAGATTTTTGAATTAGTTATGTGAAAGTTACTATGGCTATTGCATTATCTTACAGGAAACAATTATGCAAAAAAACTCATCAACACAGTTTATTTTATGATTTTTCACTATAAAGGGTTTCACAAAAATAAAGTATATTATTAACGCTCGAGGAAGCGTGAGAAACACGTGACACGATTTTTGTAAACCCCTTTCGCTATACAATAGCTTCCTCGAGCGTTGATAATGTTTATTATTAACGCTTGAGGAAGCGTTGAGAAACACGTGTCGCCGTTTTTGTGAAACCCGTTATAGTGAAAATCATACAATAAACTATATTATTGACTTTCAATATGGATTTCTATCAAGTATCGGCCAGTTCTATTCAACTATTATGCAAAAATTAATTTATGGGATTTTTATTGGATTGAAATTCAAGCTCAATAATCTGTATTGATTACTCAATATTTACGTATAATGTGAAATTTCGTATAGTTGTGGAATTGGCCGCGGTGGTAGTGCGCCCGACTCACGATCGGAAGGCCGTGGGTTCGATTCCCGCCTCGACCAGATATTTTTCTCGAAAGAATTCATCTGGTTGAAGATGGGATGATTCTGCAAACGATGAGAAATTGGCCGTTATAAAATTATATTTGACAGTTATGTTTCAGTCATAAAATAAGTGATTCATAAAGTAGGAACGTTTTCAATAACATCCGTGCTTCAAAATGAATAAGTCAATGAATATAGTCGTTAACACATAAATGTATATGATATCTTCTTTTATTGATACCAATATTTTCAACCTTTATTTGTGTAAAAATATTGATCAATCCACATACTTTTCAACTCTTCTGATACAACACGATAATTTATTTTGGTATCGGTTATGATCATTATTTTGCCTAGTGGGTTACTGTATTATGAAAAAGCATTAATTTCAGCCAATACATATCTGAGATGATTGCATAATCAAAACATAAAATGATGGTTGCAACACCAGTTTAGGCAATACGATGTAACTAGTTATTGTTACCAGTTATTTTCAAAAAAAGTATAGAAATTAATTCTAATACTTGATAATTTCAAGTCAACTGTCACAAATCGAGATGATATCAAACATTGAGTATGATTTTTTTTGTTATTGCTGTGAGAATTTTCGTGATGCAGATGTGGGGACAATTTGAAAGTATATATAAGTAACGTCACATGGTTTCAGCGTCATTGTTAGTTACAAAACGAGATGTTAATGAAAGCGGTAAGTCGACTAGATTCATAAATTATTTAGTCCAAAATCTGATTCTACGAAATAGTTTCTGAAAAGTTCAGTAGTTTGTGTTGTGCAACAAATAGTGTCTTGTAATCCAAAGAGTATTAATTATTCGTAGTGGGCCAGTGGGCCATTTGCGTGTGAGTGAATAGTGAAGAATGGGTTTTTAATTCATCACTCTCAATTAAAATGTAATCATGGAGATATTGGCTGCATTCAACTACTTATTCACTTTCATTCAGAGGGAAACCAAGCATGCATTATACCTTCACGTTATTTCCCATTTACAAGAATTTGAGCTCCTTATTCTGACTTCATTATAGGCATGTAATAAAATTGTAACTCATTTTGGATTTGTATAGTGCAATGAGTGGATATTCAGTTTACCAACAAGGTTTTGTAGATAAGTTGCCTCAAAAAAGTTTCATTTAAAATTATCTTAAAGGGCATCTGAAAAACCTCGATTAGGTCATCCATGTTTGTTCTCTAATGTTCCATCTGTTTGGAATTATGAGGTATTTGTAAAATCCCTCAAAGAGAATTTAATGTATTTAACAATATGTCACAACCATACAGTAATCGTCAATATGAATGTTTGAGATGTTTTTTCTTATCTCCATAGTTCATTGAGAAGCTGTTAATGTATGAACTCAGCTATTCAAAATTTTCAATCCAACGACTATATCATATTAGACATAACATGCATTCCTTCTGGTGCTCATGTGTTAAAGGTTTTTGCAGGTATGTTCCCAGGTATATTTTCGCGTTATTATTTAATAATAATGATAACTGCTTTCATTGAAGGGTAACTCATTATATATTGTGCTATTTTCTGAACAAGTCCCGTAAAAGGGATTTGGGAACCACAAAGCTTGTTCAGAACTCGTGCAACTTTTTCAATACCTGTAATTCCTCAGTGTCCTGTTCCCAGTATAGACTCAATTTTCCTTTCAATTTATTCAATATCCTTGTTCACCACTTCCTTTAGTTCTTCGAATCTTGCCTTAAAAACATAGGATGTCAAACGAGATAGTTTATCTATGTAAGTTTCATCACTTTCGGTAAAATATCTTACAAGCTAGGATAATTCAATGCAAGGAGAAAATAAAAATGAAGGTGATGAATTGGATGATTTTTCTGACCATGAGATTGATCCATAATCTAGTTTACCGACGAACAAAACGAATATCTAAAAGAAGGGGAACAATTGATATTATACCTATAATTATGCAATAGCCATACACGATGAAAGAACACCAACGCTCAGACAAGGCCCTACTAAGTGTTCCTCCATCACTTGAATGATTTATACCACGTAAGAACACTGTTGAAACTACCTACTGAAATGGGAACTAGTAAAGTGGGACATTTATTTGCCAAATGTTTGTATAAGATTCCTTCCATCAATAATACTGTAAAATCATGGCGACATTTGTTGCAATAATTATATGTTTTATATGTTTGCATTTTCATTTTAACATTTATCATTTTTACTTTTTTTGCATTTTATTTTTACATATTACCTTTTAACATTCTTACATAATTATATTTTTACATTTTAACATTTCTAACATTTAAGATTTCCACATCTTTACATTTTAATAACCTGAATTGTCAAATCCATTTTAATCTCACTGTTCTGATTTATAATGTGAATATTGTGAATAAAACAATATTACCCACGCACAGGGGGTCCTTTGTAGGTTTCCTGAATTTGTTCAGATTGTTCAAATTGTAATTGACAGATCCTTTAACTGAAAATTGAATAAATTCAATATTCATTGGATATAATTCATTGGATATGAGTAGTAATTCATTCAGCTTATTTACACAATGGAACTGTAATGCGAAATTTCTAACAAATGACGTTTCTCTTTCCACAAACTTCATAAAATATGAAAAAATAATGTTATGTAGGTGAGTTTTCCGAGGAATGATTATACTCCACCAATATGCACGTTTGAGTAGGATTCACACTCGAATGTCATCCTTGAAAATTCTGTTTTAAACGGGAATACATATAAACTGATACCATGTACCATCTGTTACAGTTTCTAAATTTTAAGAGAAGCTTTCACGATGAAGATAATAAAAACAAATATTCGAATATTGAAACGTGTTGAAATTTTGTCACCGTCAAAAGGTATTGAAAAATTGAGTTCACTATCAATGATGAAACCTCATTTCATTCATCCCAATAAAAATGATGTATAACTAGTGGTTTATGATTATTTCAGATTATTGACTGGGCGAAAGCGATGTATCTCATTTTTTTGTTTACCTGATTGCTGTCTCTACATGAAAAATATTCAAGAAAAACTATTATTGTGGGTATAAATTCAACAGAACCCGAAGCATTGATTTTTGGAACGTTTATCTGTGTCATTATTGTAACGACTATGTATTGTGTTAAACCTCACTTTCGATTCAGTTATGTCAATTCAGAAAATCACATTGTTAGGAAAATAAATACTGCAAAAATACTGTCTTATACAATGTCTTAAGTTTGTAGAACGACATTAGTATGAATTTTATTTGAGTTTAAATAGGTCGTTCTTTGAGGGAAATCTTTGAGCTTCTCCATGAATTTGGTTGTAGTCACTAAACGAATTTTCATATCAGCCCCATTTCAAGCTGAATTTTTGTTGTTAAATTTTTTTTACTTCCTGAATCTGAATTTGGTAGAACTGAATCTGCATTTATCTTATTAATTTGATCGTTGTGTATTATTTCATGAATATTTTTCGGTTCTGCTGGAATGAATTTATTTTCTTTCGACATTATTCTATTTAATTTGGGTAAAAGTTTTTCAGTTTCATCGATGTTTTTCGGCCTAGCTTAACGATTGTTCATTTTGTTCTGATAAGAATACAAAAATCGAAAACTCGCACCATTTTATTGATTGCTTTAGGTACAATTGACAGGCGATCTCTTTAACGAGATACAAATCATGTGTTGGGTATCTCAACGAATGACGTTTACAATTTTCCTGGATTTCTGACAAACATTTATGTTAATGATTTGGAATTATCTTGATTATTGTTGAACCGGAGCTCTAGACTTTTTTAGAATAATTACGAACAATTTGATATAATATGAGACACTTCAAGTCTTACAATCTGTTCAGGTTTTATTTGATAACCGCATTTGAACTGGAGAAGCCGAAAGTTTGATATATGGGGACATTGAAATTGGTGATGTGAAGAACTCCCATAGATAAATGGCGGAATTTTACATTATAATGTGTATGTTGTAACGGACCGAATAAAATCTCAGGGCGAAGCTGGATTGCTGATTTCAAAATTCAGAAGACCATGTTATTGAATTCATAAATTTTTCCTAAATAGTAATATCTGCTTTGAGATTTGCGGCTTCAAAATTTATAATGGACACACTAAAATAGTTCCTTTACAAAGATTTTGTTCTCATGTAAGTGTATGAACAAGTCATCTGCAAAATTTGCCATGCGATAAGAACGACCGTAGAATTTATAAACTTGAAATAGTTCAGTAAGTCGCAAAAATCGACTCATCATAAATAAAATACAATTTTTGCTGAAATGTTAAGAAATACTAATCAACACTATTATATGATATCCTTCATTCTGAATTTTATAAATCGTGCAAAGATCTTTGAATATTAAATGTAATTTTTCAAACAACGGAGGCCCTGGATAATTCCAATAAATGCCTAGCTGTTTTTTTAGCTTTGGCCAAGGTCTTTGACACCGTTTCTCACGAAAAATTGATGAATAAACTCTATAATTATAGAGTTCGAGGTCCGGCAAATAAAATCTTCAAAAGTAATCTGTCAAACAGAAAACAAACTGTGCCTCAGGGCACAGTTTTGGGACCCATACTATTTCTAGTGTATAACAACAGCGTAGCCTAAATTAAAAACTTCAAAGGCCATCTCATCTCATATGCTGACGATACGGCCATTGTTTATAAAGCAAAGACATAGCGACAAGTATACAATGAAGCCGAAGGAAGTTTAGAAAAAAGAAAGATATGGCAAAATGACAATCTACCTAATCTCAATGTCTCAAAATCAAAATTCATAGTATTTTCTCTACAAGGTAACCAACAACCCGATATGGAAATGATTCACATGCATAAACCTACTTGCCCAAAAACATTATTTAGCTGTCTAAGTATTGAAAAGATTGAGAAAGTTAAATATCTTGGACTGGTTTTGGACCCTCAAATGTGATGGAATAAACAGGGAATAACGTCTCAAGCAATTAACATATAAACTGTATAATTCAAGATGCATTTTAACCGAACAAAACTCATTAATAATATAAAATTCACTGGGTAAATCAGTAATTGGATACTGTATCATGATGAGGTGGAAGCATTCGGGAATATACTGCATAAAATTCAAATCTTTCAAAATTCTTTGATTAAAATCTTTGAAAGCCTGTGTGCATGCAACTGTCTCGTTTGGATATTTTCTAATGAATCAAACTATTGCCTGGCAAGATCAAAAAGATACTTGAAATGCACAAAATATATCACCACCCCCATTCAAGAAATGTCATACACAAAGAACGATATTTTGCACCAAAATGTTTCAATATAATGTCAAAAGATACGATAAATATCTCAAACTTCAAAATCTATAAAACAAATAATAAAAAATTAATAACTACAAACGATAGGTACCTATACTTACTCATTATGATTCTACTGAAAAACGCATCACTATAAGAAACATGCATAATTCTGAGAACTAATTTCATAAGATATATGAATTTTGTAAGTTACTGAGTAACTATATTGGTGCTATCATCTTATCATCTTACTATATTATATTGTCTAATTGCATTACGTATCCATGTTGATAAAATAACCTCAAATTCAAAACACAACAATTTATTTCACCAAGTTTGTTTTCTCCTTTTTCAATTAGACCTTAGCACTCACAAGTTTCGACTTTTGAGGGTTGTCGTTCCTAGGAGTGCGGTAACTGTTAACGGAAAAACA